AATACTATAACGGAGTTCAAAAGGGAGCTAGATAGATTCATGGAAGATAGGTCCATCAATGGCTATTAGTGAGGATGGGCAGGAATGGTGTCCCTAGGCTCTGTTTGCCAGAAGCTGGGATTGGGTGACAGGGCATGGATCACTTGATGATAACCTGTCTGTTCATTCCCTTTGGAGAACCTGCCATTGGTCTCTGTCAGAGGACAGGATCCTGGGCTCAGTGGACCTTTGGTCTGACCCAGTATGGCCGTTCTTACGTTCTTCTCAGGTGATGTAATAAAAACTAGCTGTTATCAGATATCAAATCCCCATTTCACAGATGGGGAAACTGAAGCACAGAGGGGAAGTGACTTCCCAAGGTCACCCACAGGCCAGAGGCAGAAATGAGAATGGAATCCAAGTTTCCTGAGTCCCAATCCAGTGGTTTTTCCTCTAGGCAATACTGCAGCTGAGTTGCACCCACAAGAATGTCCAAGCTGTTGTTTCAGAGACGTAGCTGTGTTAGCTTGTATCAGAAAAAACAACAAAGAGTCCGTGTAGCACCTTAGAGACTAACACATTTATTGTGGCATAAGCTTTCGTAGGCTAATAATGATGAAGTGGGGTTTAGCCCATGAAAGCTTATGCTGAAATAAATGTGTTAGTCTTTAAGGTGCCACAAGGGCTCCTTGTTGTCCAAGCTATTGTTGTGATACTTAACATTTTCCTATGCAGAAGAGTACAGAAGCTGCACACCTTGGAATTGTGTCCGCCAACAAAAGCTTTGGGTTTAAATGGGCTGATTAGGTTTGGACATTGAGATGTTCAGGTTTTGAAAGAGTGGCAGCAGTGGGACAGCCCTTGGGCAGCTGTCTTCTCTCCCGGTTGTTGCTGTCAGCACAAGTGGCCTTTGGGTGTAATGTTCTAAGTTGGAAGAAAAGTGGTAGCCACCTGGCCACACATGATGTTCATGTCTATCCTTGGTGGCCCCTGTCCTTTCAGCAGACCGGTTAAAGAACCTGCAGAGACCAGCTTTACTAGGTGCACCTTTCATCTGTTTCTCTAAACCTCCTTGACAAATAAATAAGGCCATGACCTTTAGCCTGTAGTGTTAAAGGAAGTAGCGGAGGCTAAGTGACTGCATTGCCACTATGCAGAACTCCCTGTGCAAGAATTAGCTAGAGGTCTAGCTAAGTGGGTCTTGGATGTGGACTGTTGCCAACTCTTTGGTAGAAGAGCAAAATTAAAATAGGCAGAGGAATGATGGCACTAAGCAGGCTGAGCTACTAACTTCCAGAGTGACAGAGACACCCCTTTTAGTAAGTTGCTCCCCATTTCTCTGGGACAGTAATCCAAGGTGTAGAATGCCAGCAGCACACATCCCGAGCACCGTTCTGCAGATTGGAATGAGGGAGATGTGGCGCAGTCTCCATTCTGCAAAGCCAAACGTCTTTCACATGCGAACACTCTGAGAAGATTAACGGTCTGGAAAATTACTAATTTCCTTAGTATTTTTCAAATAATGGAACTTCTTTAGGGACTTCTTCCACCTTCTGGGGATGTAAGAAATCAGCATTAAAAATGTGGATAAGAGAGACTTACTTGTTTCCCTTTGCTAAGGTTCAACAAAGATATTGCCCAGAAATTCCCAAGCATCTAGCTAGTATAGATTTTAAGGGGAAGGATTTCACCTGCTAACATGGTCTCTGCAATCTTATACCCACCTATTTGCTTGTTCTACATTGGCTTTAACCGCTCAGCATTCCTTGGTCCTAGGATTCATGTTGGTACTTACAGCAGGAATGACCCTACAGGGTCACTTACTGGCAGAAAGAACCCCTTTTCCCAAGTTCTGGACTATTACAGGAGCAACTGGAGAGTTAGGTAAGAAACTTTTTCTCTTTACTTTAGGTTCAGATTACGTGGGAGGCCTTTCATCCAATGTACGCTGAAGGGGGATCAAGTTGAATGGAGTCAACTTCCAACTTGTGAAGGTCAGGCTATTTTTATGGCTTTAAGAAGAACGCCTGATTGGAGCTGTTGCAGAGTAACTGTTACAGACCTTTCATGTGTGTTTTATATTCACTCAATTTAGATTGTCAGTCATATAGATATTTTTGAATTCTATATGCACGAATAGCCTTATTGGACATGCTGCGTAACCAAGTATTTAGATTTGGCAAATTCTTTCATTTAGGCTAAGTGGATGAGACTTAGATCTGCCATATTAGAGATCTGGGTTCTCTTCCTAGCTTGTGTAACTTTCATTCAGGGAGGATGGATTGCTCAGCGATAACTTGGGTTTTGAAGGGCACAGGATTGTTAATACCAGTCAGTAGAAATAATGAGAGTTGAACTCATCATCTCCTGATTCCCAACACGGTGCACCTTCTCCTAGGCCAAAGGATATGTTGATGTGAGGGATGGAGATGCACAGTTCTGAGTTGCACATGGCAACACCTTGCAGAGAATGCTCAGTGAAAACAGCATGTTCAGGGGTTTTAGAAGTCCCTGTAGGAAGTTTTGATGAGTAAAACTGAAGGGAAATGACAGATTTTGGCAGTTTGTAACTCATGGTGACAGCAAGAGACACCACATTGAGCCTTTCACATCTGAGTGACCAGCTGGTGATGGGAGACTGATATAATGTTCATAACTGCTTTTTCCTCTTCTTTTAGCCTTAGTCATAATTACCCAGGACAAACCCAAGACTGTCGCTCCTAAAGGAGTAGAAGTAGCTGGTAGAAGTAAGTGGCCCCCTCGAAGATTGAGGCTCAAACCACTGAGCTATCTCCCCTGCCCCCAGGTTCCACAGTTAGGTTGCTGTTGGAAATGTAATCCTTAAAAAATTGCTCTCGCTTCACATACACACACAGAGGAAAAATTAAGATCTCATGGGTGAATAGGTTCAGATCTAAGGGCAAATAGGTTCAGTAATTCCAGGAGCCATTGAAAGGCCACTTCAGAGCACTCTTTACCCTCGCTGTTACTGTTATATAATCTTTCATACAGTTACCCTAAAAATCTTAGTCTGAGCATTGCTTTTACATGGGTCTGATTTCTAAATGCAAAACTCATTGACATCAGTGACTGTGGTTCTGTTCAATCTGTGGCAAGGAGTTACCCATTTAATGTCTAATCAGCAGCTATGGAAGATACTAAATGACTTTACTCTAGTAAGGACAGCAAAAGTGTGTCTCTTGAAACAATCTGATTTTTCAAATACTGATGGATAATTTTGAAATACTGATTTTTCGAAATCTGCGGCTGGCCCGTGCCAGCTGATCCGTACTCACGGGGCTCAGGCTAAGGGATGGTTTAATTGTTTTGCAGCTGTTTGGGCTCTGGTTTGAGCCGGGGTTGTATGACCTTGCGCAAGCTCGAATATCTGCATCACCGTTAAACAGTCCCTTAACCCGAGAGACCAAGCATGGGCCAGCTGCAGGTGTATAATTGCGATGTAGACGTACCCTAACACTAACCTATGATGACGTGCTAAGGTGGATATTATGATACCCCGTCTACAGTACCCATGTGTAACGATTCTGTGCTTACTCAATGTTTTGGCAAACACGTGGTTGGCCAGTGCAGGCTTGGAAAATGAGAGCCTAGATGCATGTGTAAGAGAATAGTTAACACACAGTTAATTTATTCATAAGATTTTCCTGCCCTAAGAAACCCGCTGTGATTCTGTCTTAAATTTCAGTGGCACAAACTCTATTTCGTAGGTGTATATTTTCCTGGGACAAAGACAGTCTCCAAATCCATACAGTTATCCCAAGGAGGAGAATTGAGTAGATAATTTACAGCTGAGAGAATTAGCTCTTGAAATGACGATAGGGGTAATGCACCTAATGCGCGTGGATCTTCTGCTTTGTGCAGACTTGACCGTATACCCAAAAGAGGGAAATATTAGAGAAAATCAAGTGGGTAAAACACCAGGAGGGGGTTGACTCGAGCAGTTATTGAGCCTGACAGTGCTTTCACTGTCAAGCTTGGGGGGGTTTCTTCAAATATTTTGGGGAGACAATGTTAGCATTTGTGGATTCGATTCTTTAAAATTCAATATGTTTTGTCCTGTGCTTGGCAAGATAATTTTCACTCCAATCTGTTTGTGAGCGTTGATGTCTTTATGTGTCTGGAATCGCTGCCAGCTTTTTGGTATTTAAAATAGTCAGTTGTGTTTAGAGCACCTCAAACATTTTATAAAACTTTCTTTTCTGTACAGATTCCGCACTGAGGGCATGGAGTGTGGGGGGGCCTGGATATGTGTGGGGGTGCCAGAGTCAGGATCTTGGGCGGTGGGGTGAAGGAGTCAAGCAGAGGGCTGGATGTGTGTGAGGGGTGTACAGGGCTCAGGGCAGGAGCCTGGGGGGGGGGTGCGGGATGCAGGGCTCAGGGCACGGGCCTGGGGTGTGTGCGGGGGTGCATGGCTCAGGGCAGAGTGTGTGTGAGGGGGGGTCGTGGGGTGCTCGTGCAGGGGGCTGGAGGGGTTAAGCCCCTATTCCACCACCCCCCCTTCCCCAAGGCCCTGACCCCACTTCTTCTCTGCCTGTGCCAGGGGCAGCGAGCACTGTGACTCCACTCCTCCCCGACCCCCTCCCTCGCAAGGGCCATCAGCTGATTGGCCGGCAGGGAGGGACGGAGAGGAGGAGGGGCAGGAACCCAGCACACTGTGGGAAGAGGCAGGGGAGCCGGCAGGACCAAGCTTCTGCCCCTTGCCCCCTGCCCGGACGTGAGGGGGAGAAGAGCGGGCTGGGACAGGCAGGATTTTTAATGGCACGGCAGGCAGGAGCATGCCATTAAAAATCGGCTTGAATGCCATCTTTGGCAGGGGTAGCCCAGCTGATAGTACAGGGGCTCTCGCTGTGACAACGTGTAATTGGGATAAGTCTGTCTTCTCACTAAAGATGAAGATTCCTAAACATTAGTTTGGCAAGCTCCTGGCTCTGAGTGGCCAGCTGGTGATGGGAGACTGATGTAATGTTCATAACTGCTATTTCCTCTTCTTTTTGCCTTAGTCATAATTACCCAGGACAAACCCACAACTGTCCCTCTCAAAGGAGCAGAGGTAGCTGGTACTTCCTCAGGTAAATTGGAAGAACTTGGATTTGCTAAAAGTCTAGAGTTTTGGGTTCAAATTTCCACTTGAATAAAAATGAAATGTACAATGTGAGGGTCATTTAATTTCTATAATTCCGCTATTCACAGATGCAAATATGATGATGCTCACTTAGTGCTTGCCTACAAACTTGACAGAGAGCTCGTTGTTCATTTGCACACTCCATGCTCTCCTGGTTTTCGTACCTCTCTCATTGTTCCTGCACCATTTCTTTTGGTTATCAAAGCCTTTTGGTGGGTCCTTCTCCCGCTTCCACTTTCCAAAGGATTCCCACAGCACTCTGACCTTGGCCCATTCCTCTGATTCCTCTCAATAGGAGAGTGACGTGGCCAATACTGTGGGTAAGGAATATTATTGTCTTATTATAATTGGCTTATTATTATTAATATCCATATGGTTATCCCAAGGAAAAGAATTGAGGAGTAGATAATTTACAGCTGAGAGAATTAGCTCTTGGAATGACGATAGGGGTAATGCACCTAATGCGTGTGGATCTTCTGCTTTGTGCAGACTTGAAGGTATACCCCACAGAGGGAAATATTAGAGAAAATCAAGTGGGTAAAACACTGGGAGGGGGTTGACCCTAGCAGTTATTCAGCCTGACAGTGCTTTCAGTCATGCGTGCGGGCTTTTCTTCAAATGTCTTGGGGAGCAGTTGTGGATTCGATTCTTTAAAATTCAATATGTTTTGTCCTGTGCTTGGCAATATAATTTTCACTCCAGTCTGTTTGTGGGTGTTGATGTCTTTATGTGTCTGGAATCTCTGCCGGCTTTTTGGTATTTAAAATAGTCAGTTGTGTTTAGAGCACCTCAAACATTTTATAAAACTTTCTTTTCTGTACAGATTCCGCACTGAACACAATTGGCAACTCTACTGAGTTGGAAGGTGAGGTACTGAGGGGAGAGAGAAAACACTTGAGCTGTTAGACTGGGTAGTGCAATGCGTGTGGTGAGCAGGGAAGCCTGGCTGTAGGGAGCTTCAGAACTGGAGCTGGCCACATCCTTTTGTTTGTTTTTCAAATCTATCACACTAAGGAACCCCTGAATGTAGCTGATCCATGTGGCTGAATTATGTGCATGACATTGGAATCATGTTGAATTTCTGCCAAAAATAAAGAAATTAAATAAAAAATCCCTTCTAGTCAGTAACTTAGGGAGACCGTAACTATAATTTTTTTCTAAATCAGCTAGATTTCTTTGTGTGGGTTTTTTTGTTTTGTTTTGTTTTCCTAACTCTTTTTTCTCTATTAGCCAGTTTCCTGCCTGGTTTTTAAAATATTTTTCGTTGAGCTTTATTTATACAACAACAACAAAAAAGAACCCAAATTGTATGTTCCTGCCAAAACTGAAGCCATCAGTAAACCTGAGTCCTGCACCTACAGTTATGATGAACAATATGGTTACAAGTGAATATGTACGCTCCATTTATCATACTAGGAGTTCTAGGACCTGCGAGGTGGGAGGGTCGCAGGCCCGAGCCCGAATATCTGCATCACCGTTAAACGGCCCCTTAGTCCGAGAAACCAAGCATGGGCCAGCTGCAGGTGTAGAATTGCAATGTAGACATACCCTAACACTAACCTATGACAACATGCTAGGGTGAATATTATGATACCCCATCTAGACAGACCCCAGCTGGTGATGGGAGACTGATATAATGTTCATAATTGCTTTTTCCTCTTCTTTTTGCTTTAGACATAATTACCCAGGACAAACCCACAACTGTCCCTCCTAAAGGAACAGAAGTAGCTGGTACTTCCTCAGGTAAATTGGAAAAACTTGGATTTGCTAAAAGTCTAGAGTTTTGGGTTCAAATTTCCACTTGAATAAAAATGAAATGTACAGTTTGAAAGTCATTTAATGTCTACAATTCTGCTATTCATAGATGCAAATATGATGATGCTCACTTAGAGAGCTCGTTGTTCATTTGCACACTCCATGCTCTCCTGGTTTCCCTACCTCTCTCATTGTTCCTGCACCATTTCTTTTGGTTATCAAAGCCTTTTGGTGGGTCCTTCTCCCCCTTCCACTTTCCAAAGGATTCCCACAGTGCTCTGACCTTGGCCCATTCCTCTGATTCCTCTCAAAAGGAGAGTGATGTGGCCAATAACGTGGGCTTTATGTAACTTCTGGCCTTTTTAAAAAGAAAAAAGAAGTCTATGTGAAACTAATGTCCCATCCCCCACCTCCATGTGTCACTGAAGTTTGACACTTGGGCCTAAGGTACTGTAGCATAGAGCTCTATCAAGTTAAAGAAGTAATTATAATAGGTGGCAGCAGGAGTAGATTGTTATATGGACCAACCACTAGAGGAGGATGCCCAACACACTAAAACATTGGATTATATATGCTTGAATAACCTCATTGTACAAACCGCGTAGCCAAGTATTTAGATTTGGCAAATTCTTTTGGTTAGGTCAAGTGGATGAGACTTGGTTCTGCAATATTAGAGATCTGGGTGCTCTTCCTAGCTTGTGTGACTTTCATTCAGAGAGGATGGATTGTTCAGTGATAACTAGGGTTTTGAAGGGCACAGGGGTGTTAACATTAGTCAGTAGAAATAATGAGAGGTTAACTCATCATCTCCTGGTTCCCAACATGGTGCTCCTTCTCCTAGGCCAGGGATCGGCAACCTTTCAGAAGCGGTGTGCCGAGTCTTCATTTATTCACTTTAATTTAAGGTTTCACGTGCCAGTAATACATTTTAATGTTTTTTAGAAGGTCTCTCTCTCTCTCTGTAAGTGTATATATTATATAACTAAACTATTGTTGTATTGTAAAATAAACAAGGTTTTCAAAATGTTTAAGAAGCTTCATTTAAAATTAAATTAAAATGTTGAACTTACGCCACCAGCCCGCTCAAGCCGCTGCTGGTCTGGGGTTCTGTTCACCTAGGCCGGCAGCGGGCTGAGCGGTGCCTGTGGCCGTGACCCCGGCTGGCAAGGGTCCAGCAGCCAGATCCCCAGACCGGCAGAGGGCTGTGCAGGGCCAGTGGCCGGGACCCCAGACCGGCAGTGGGCTGAGTGGCTCAGCCTGCTGCCGCTCAGGGGTTCCATCCGCCGACTCCTGCCAGCCAGGATCCCGGCTGCGGGACCCACTCAACCCGCTGCTGGTCTGGGGTCTCAGCTCTGCCCACATACAGTAGGTACCTACCTTCTCCCTGGTTCTGGCCCATTCTCTTCCTCTCTCTCTACACTGAGCTGAGGGTGGGAGTGCACTGAGCACAGGGCTGGGGGTGAAGGGTCTGGCAAGGAGCTAGAATGGCTCAGGGTTGGGGCAGGAGGTTTGGGTGTGGAGCGCTTACCTGGGCAACTCCCATTTGGTGCGAGGGGTGCAGGTGGGAATGTGGGGGGGGTGTGCAGGAGCTCCCGTTTGGTGCTCAGGGTGGGGGCGGCGATGTGGGGGGTTCAAGAGTTGAGGATGTGGGGGGTGCATGGGGTGTGTGAAGGCTGGGTATGTGGGGGTGCAAGAGTCAGGGCATGGAGTGTGGGGGGGCCTGGATATGTTTGGGGGTGTCAGAGTCAGGATCTTGGGTGGGGGGGGGTGAAGGAGTCAAGCAGAGGGCTGGATGTGTGTGAGGGGTGTACAGGGCTCAGGGCAGGAGCCTGGGGTGTGTGTGCGGGATGCAGGGCTCAGGGCACGGGCCTGGGGTGTGTGCGGGGGTGCAGGGCTCAGGGCAGAGGGATGGGTGTGTGTGAGGGGGGGTCGTGGCGTGCTCACGCAGGGGGCTGGAGGGGATAAGCCCCTATTCCACCCCCCCCTTCCCCAAGGCCCTGCCCCCACTTCTTCTCTGCCTGCTCCAGGGGCAGCAAGCACTGTGACTCCACTCCTCCCCGACCCCCTCCCTCGCAAGGGCCATCAGCTGATTGGCCGGCAGGGAGGGACGGAGAGGAGGAGGGGCAGGAACCCAGCACACTGTGGGAAGAGGCAGGGGAGCCAGCAGGACCAAGCTTCTGCCCCTTGCCCCCTGCCCAGACGTGAGGGGGAGAAGAGCGGGCCGGGACAGGCAGGATTTTTAATGGCACGGCAGGCAGCAGCATGCCATTAAAAATCGGCTTGAATGCCATCTTTGGCACGCGTGCCATAGGTTGCCGACCCCTGTCCTAGGCCAAAGCATATTTTGATGTGAGGGATGGAGATGCACACTTCTGAGTTGCACACGGCAACACCTTGCAGAGAATGCTCAGTGAGAACAGCATGTTCAGGGGTTTTAGAAGTCCCTGTAGGAAGTTTTGATGAGTAAAACTGAAGGGAAAGTACAGATTTTGGCAGTTTGTAACTAATGGTGGCAGCAAGAGATACCACATTGAGCCTTTCACATCCCTGCTGCAAAGCACGGAACTGTTAGAGCTCTTAAAAAAAAGAGAGAGAGAGAGAATTTTTATAAAGGGAAGTGGTAGGCAGCTCAATGTAGGGGTTGCTATGGGCTTCCCCTAGAATATCTGAATGGGATCCCAGCAGCAGTCTGCAGGGGTAGCCCAGCTGATAGTACAGGGGCTCTCGCTGTGACAACGTGTAATTGGGATAAGTCTGTCTTCTCACTAAAGATGAAGATTCCTAAACATTAGTTTGGCAAGCTCCTGGCTCTGAGTGGCCAGCTGGTGATGGGAGACTGGTGTAATGTTCATAACTGCTATTTCCTCTTCTTTTTGCCTTAGTCATAATTACCCAGGACAAACCCACAACTGTCCCTCTCAAAGGAACAGAAGTAGCTGGTACTTCCTCAGGTAAATTGGAAGAACTTGGATTTGCTAAAAGTCTAGAGTTTTGGGTTCAAATTTCCACTTGAATAAAAATGAAATGTACAGTGTGAAAGTCATTTAATTTCTATAATTCCGCTATTCACAGATGCAAATATGATGATGCTCGCTTAGTGCTTGCCTACAAACTTGACAGAGAGCTCGTTGTTCATTTGCACACAGTGCTCTGACCTTGGTCCATTCCTCTGATTCCTCTCAATAGGAGAGTGACGAGAAACCAAGCATGGGCCAGCTGCAGGCTTAGAATTGCAATGTGGACGTACCCTAACACTAACCTATGACAACATGCGAGGGTGAATATTATGATACTCCATCTAGACAGCCCACGTGTAATGATTCTGTGTTTACTCAGTATAATATGGCCCTTGGCTACAGGGCAGTAGGGCCTACCAGCTAGAGTGCATAAAGCGAACCTTGGTGGAGGGTAGCGTGGCCTAGCGGCCAGAGTCTTTATCGTTGGGATGTCACAGCCCTGGTAGCAATACGCTGAGTTTCCCCAGGGGGGGAAGGTACCACTCTGTCACCCTCCCGGTGACACTTCCTACCCGGCTCTCCGTTGGGGTCTCCCAGGAGTCGTCGGGTCCTCGGTACTCTGCGGATCCGGTCGTCTCCCGGGTCTCCTCCAATCGCCGGGGTGCAGGCGGGCCGTGGACGGCGTCGCTTCCCGGTGCAGTCAGCGGCTGTGGCTGGCCCTCCGCAGGAGCTCCCCCCAGCAGGTCCTTCTCCTACAGACTACAGCCCAGAATGAGCTGGTCTCCCTCCCTTTATACTCCTGTAGCACCTGGAGCATGCCCAGTCTTCCCAGGGAGGCGGAACTTCCGCTGCCCATCCCTGGGGCTTAACTTGGTCCGGGATAAGGCGGGGTGGTCTGACCCCGCCACACTTCGGTTTTGAAGGGCACAGGATTGTTAACACCAGTCAGTAGAAATAATGAGTATTGAACTCATCATCTCCTGGTTCCCAACACGGTGCACCTTCTCCTAGGCCAAAGGGTATGTTGATGTGAGGAATGGAGATGCATAATTCTGAGTTGCACATGGCAACACCTTGCAGA